TCATTTTTCACTTGTTGAGATTGCTTAACTAGAGCGGATGTAATACTTTGATCTTGATTCATCAAGTCTTCACATTTTTTCACACAATTGTAATGAGGACTATTAGGTCCCCCAACATGAACATCTAACCTTTTTTTCTTATTCCAAGTACTAAATCCTTCCCCAACAAAATGATCACGACCCAATTCCCATTCATTTTTGAACAAGTAACAAGGAAGACAAAATACAGCATCCTTCGCAATGCTATACTCCAACCAATCATTGTTGACATACCAAGAAGTAAGAAATTTACGCTTCTTAGGTCCAATAATCTTATACGGGAAATCATGACTTTTGGGTTGAAAGGGTCCTTTTTGAAGATAACTACGACGTACCTCATCTTGGACGTTTGGATGAAAGTCAGAAATTTTCTTTCTTAATCCAGGGTCAGCTTCCAAAGACTCAAAATCAAAGTTGCTCTCATTAGAAGTGCATTGAGTGCTTTCCCGAACATGTGTAGGTTGAGTCACTTGAGTGCCTTCTTGAACATGAGTAGATTGAGTATTTTCTTGAGTATTTAGTTGAGGCACCGGAGCGATAACATTGTTACCAATTCCACTCGACTCCGAATCTTTAAATTTGGCTACTTTTTTGAAGTACCTTTGCATTTTGAATTCTATAAATTAAACATAAAATGAACATTAATACAATAATTAATAATATTTATCACTTTTCACTTGCAATCCTAATTCCTAAATCAATTTTTAAATTTAGTAAAATAAAGAAAAGTTTTTACCTTACCGCGGGAGTGACGGAGACCGGAGACGGGGAAGAAGATGAAGCAGGGTGCCTGGAAGCCTGGGTGCGGCGGTCGCCCGTCGCTGGCGGCCTGGCGGGTGGAGGCTGGACGGCGGTCGCCGGTCTGCAAGTCGCGGTCTCGCGTCGGCTGGGCAGTGGGCAGCAGAACGGCAGATTAGAAGTTTAGGGTTCCAAATTTCAAAATCAAAAATGTAAATTAAAGAATTGGGGAAGAGAAGAAATTTGCTGAGAAAATGGGGGGAGGAAACGACGCCGTTTTGACTTTTGTTGCTTGTAAAGTAAAAGTTGACTGAGAGAAATTGTCTCCAAAAAAACAACCATTGGGGCTCGAACCCCAATCTCAAGGGAGACGCATTAGGCCGAACTTCCACTGAACCAAACGCGCTTTTGTGTACTAAGTGACAAGCGTTTTTTATATATTAAAATTAATACATATCTAATACCTATATGGACCTACACCGGGGTCCGTGGGGTCCCGGGATCCCGTCGGACTCAAAGTGGGTCCGCCTCTGATGGCCACGGTCACAGGTCACCCCATGTTTCTAATTCCGTCACTTATGTTGTTTATGTTGACTAGAAAAGAATCATTTAATAATAATAATGCTTTTTTTATGAAAATAATAATAATGCTTAGTTGGCTTTTTTAAAATATAAAATAATTTATTTTGTATTGATAAAAATTACTCGAACCTATATATTTAAAAAAAATTACTCGAACCTATGTATTTAAAAAGTTTGCCGAAATTGTGGTAATCACAGCGGTTACATGATTACAGAGTATTTTATTTTTTTCGGATTCTCAATAAAAATATTTGTAAAGAAAAAGAAAATTAATTTGACTTTGCAAACAGTATGTGTTGTTTTAAGTGTGAGATGGAGAAAATATATTTCTATTTTATAGCAGAAATAGCTTCCTTTTAATATTTGACCAATGAATTTTATTAGCGTTGTTCCAAAAAAAAGAATGAGCCATATTTTTATTCATGTTTTCATTGATCATTTGATAAATAAAATATTTTTATCACATTTTTTTATAAAACTTTTGTTATAGGTTAGAACGATGTAATTAGTAATTTTTAGGGATAAACAACGATGCAATTAGTACTTTTCAGGGAGTATAATTTACACTTTTTTTTTATCAATTTCTAAATACAAATATTTTAAAAGAGATGAGTTTTTGCACGGTCTTCCAAATGAGAAGAATAAACAAGGATGGAAGGAGTATGAAAAATCATGTCACCTTTAATTTTATTTTGAAAACTCTTTAACGTAGTGTTTTAATTATATAAGCTTTATTTTTAATTTTATACTTTCAATCAAATAAATTAAATTAGAAATAAAGTTGGTCAATCCCCCTAAATTGAAATGGGAAATTCAATTACAGAGAAAGAGTGACATAAAAAGTCCAATCATTTAAATTAAATTAGTATACTAAGTCTGTTTTTTTTAATTTTAAAAAATTAAACTTAGCAAATTTATTCTTTTTTTGAAGCAAGCAATTTTATTATTAATGTTCATTTTCTCGTCTACATAAACAATAACTGACGAAGTTAGAACCTATGTGATGCGGAAAGTGACCATGTAAAACGGTTTAGTTTCTTGAAGCAATGATCAGAATTCTCAAATATGAGAGCGTTATTTCAATATGTCATATTTTTGGGAGTAATCATTTGAATTTTCGGGGTGGTTTATGTGGCATTGGTCACAATGTAATTATATGACTCAACTACTCAAGGCTCCTTTGGTGCTTCATTTGAAAAAATAGATGATTTTATTTCCTAAACTCAACTAAGACTCCATTCTGTTCAATTTAGTTTTTCTGATCTGATCTGATTTTTTGTAGTTCTGATCTGATCTGATTACATATGATCTGATCTAATATGATTGGATCTGATCTGATTGGATTAGATGTGATATAATCTGGTCTGGTCTGATTGATTATGATTTGATTTAAAATTCAAATCAATAATTTGATTTGACTTTATAATAACATTTGAAAATTGTAATGATAATTCATATTATAATATAATCAATATTTTTTATTTTATGATTATTTTTTAATGAAATAAAATTAGTTAATTCACATAATAGAATAATCATTTATATTATAATGTATGAATATTTTTTATTTTATGATTATTCTTTTATGAAATAAGAATATTAATTTAATATTTTAATAATTAGTTACTATATACACATTAGAATACATATTTAATTCATATATACATTAAAAAGTAATTTAATTTAGATAATCAATATAGAGTAGAGATAGTATTTTTATTAAAATATCTCATCCTTATAAAATATCAACGTGTGCTTTGTACTACGAAACTTTTTTTATGATTAATATAACACCAAAGATATAATAGTTATTTCAGTTACACTAAAATATACTCCGTATATGAATATCAAATGTTAATTTTATTTAAGTCATGATCAAAGTTGATCAAATCGATATAGTGAAAGATCAAAACTTTAGAAACTCAAATTAAAGGTTGTAATAAAAATGTATTTTAAAAGTAAAATTAGATTGACATTGTCAATGTATTCTAAGGATTACTTTCTCAGTTTTCTATTTAACTTGTTTCTAAAGTTTATTCTTTTTCATTTTTAAGAATAATAATAATAATAGTAATAATAATAATAATAATAATAATAATAATAATAATAATAATTCTTGATTGGATTTGATCTGATCTGATATGGTCTGATCTGATCTGATTGGATCTGATCTGATCTAATCTAATCTCATCTGATTGGATCTGATCTGATCTAGTCTGATTTGATATTATTTTAATAAGAATAAGAAAAAAAATAGAAAAAATAAGTTGAACGGAACGAGGCCTAACTCCCACCCCCTTCCACGCCCCCTCCCTCCTTTTGCGAATTGGCTACAGTGATCGACCAAGGGGGGAGGTAAGAGTTTAGAAAATAGGAACCATCAATTTTTTAAACGAAGTATCGTAAAAGTTTGGGCTATCCTATAACATTGTTGTTCAATTCCACATGAGTCGATACAATAAATTTTTCCTAAAAACTACTCTCTCCGTTTGGAAAAACCCTTGCCATTTGATTTGGGGGCAAAAATAAGGAAGTGTTAAATAATAGTTGATTTCCAATTTTGCCCCTGATGTGATGGGTAAAAGTAAGATGTGATGGATAGATTATTACAGAAAAAGTATGATGTGATAGGTAGGGTATGAAAAAGTAAGGGTAAAAGTGGTTTTTTAATAGAAAGGGGAAGTGTTTTGTTGGAAGTGAAAAAATGAAAGAGGAAATGTTTTTGAGAACGGAGGGAGTACAATTTTATACAAAAATGAATGCTAGTCCATCCGTCCCAAAATAAGGCACCTGTTCGGTTTATGATGTTTGATTAATGTTATTTTCCAATCAATAAAAGTAAAAATTGGTATAAAACTAAAAAGTAAATATTACTCCCTCTAATCTAGTGTATTTATCCAATTTTACTATTTCAAGTCAAACACAATGATATTTGTGCTTCTATTAAACAAAAATTGTAATTGATAAAATTTAAAATGATTTTATTAGACTTTTCTGTTCAGAACTTTCAAAATTTTATTCTATCAAACATAGGTAAGGTTCCGTTGACTCTGTCATCCAGTATCAACGGATGACACTCGACTATTTCGTTCACTTTCACTGTTCCAAATAAAAATTTGATGGTTCCTACCCCCCTAACCCACCCCTTAAACCCCCCGTAGCACCCCTACCCCAGTCCCACCCCTGCACCCCAACCCTAGATCCCCCTTTTACCCCCTCCAAATGTATGCAATGCAATAGCCACACACTACTAGAATATGTTGATTTAGCGTGGGTCAAAATCCCTCACAAAAGGGTAAAAGCCGACAAAAAAACAGGCTTTGCGTCGAACTTGCGTCGGATTCGAGGCCGTGGCTAATCTACTCGATGCAAAATTTAGTGTCGGCCAGCTCCTTGTTACTTTACGGGGGTAGAAATCATCAATTTTGGGAACAGAGCATCAGAAGTGCTCGAAATAGGCAAGTGTCTTCCGTTGACACTCACTGACATTGTCAATGAAACCTTCTCGATCAAACATATGTTTAATATAAATTGAAAGTAACTAAAACTCAAAGCTTATTTAGTTTGACTCGAAAAAGTTAAATTAGACAAATAAACTGTGACTTATATAGTGTATACAGTATTAAGAAACTAAATCAAAAGTTAAGTGGTGGCAAGGTAATTTTATCTAATGATCGATGAAAATATATACTCCCTCCATTCTACAAAACCCTTCCAGTTTTGACTTTGGGGAAAAATAAGGAAAGTGTAATTTTGGTTGATTTTTCAATTTTGCCCCTGATGTGATGGGAAAAAGTAAGATGTGATAGTTTGGTTATTAGTGAAAAAGTATGATGTGGTAGGTAGGGTATGAAAAGTTAGGGGTAAAAGTGGTTTTTTAATAGAAAGTGGAAATGTTTTGTGGAAAGCAAAAAAAAAACGAAAGAGGAAGAGTTTTGTGGAACGGAGGGAGTAGAAAAAATAAAGTGAGTTTCAACTATAAACAGTAATCCCTCCGTCCTATAATGACGAAAGGAAGTACTATAAAATAGTACTCCCTCCGTCGTATAATGACGAAAGGGAGTACTATAAATAGTACTCCCTCCCTCCACTAACTAGGAGTCTTTTTTAGACGAAAGGGAGTTAAAATTTGATGTATGAAAACTACTCCTTACATTCTAAAATTTATTCAATAATTACACTAAATTTACATTATGACTAAATATACCTTTTCACAATTTATAGTAAAAGTTTATAAAATTTAACCCGAAAAAGTAAGGAGTGCTTTTATAGTGCACCCTAGGTGCAAATCATTTTTATGATTTTTTTTACATTAAAAATATTTTTTATTTTATTTTTTATTATGTTTAAAAATGCTCATCTAAATATAGTAAAAAATTGCTTATTTAAATCACATGTACAACACCATAGGATTTGCCAAAAGTAAAATGTAAAGATATTTTTGGACAAATAGTGTGTGCTTATTTCTAAAATTCTTGGTGTAGGTAGTGGAGGAAGGAGGTAATATGAAATGGGTGGCGACAAAGGTGGACTTGGACCAACACGTTGTGGTGCCGGAACTCGGAGGTGGCAATTTCCTCCTCGGAGGATCGTCACCAGACAAGTTTATGGAAGACTACATTTACAACCTCAGCAAAACGAGCCTCTCGAAAGCGAAACCGCTATGGGATCTGCACCTCCTCAACCTCAAAACCTCCGACGCGGAGGCGGTGGCAATCCTGCGAGTACACCATTCCCTGGGCGACGGCACCTCGCTCATCTCGCTCCTCCTTGCGTGCACTCGCCAGACCGCCAATCCCCAGCTTCTCCCCACCGTTCCCACCACGAAGAGGAGGAGGCCATCCGCGTTCTCAGGCGGGGCTTCTCCCAGATTCTGGACTACGTATGTTGTCCGGCTTCAGCATTTCATGTTGCTTCTGTGGCATACATTAGTTGACGTCTTCATGTTTCTCGCCACTGCCGCCTTTCTCAAGGATAGCAATACCCCCATCAAGGCCGCTCCTGGTTCTCACTTTAATCCTAGACGGGTCGTTTTTCGGACCGTCAGTCTAGATGATTTCAAGCTTATTAAGAACGCCATGGATATGGTATGTTCCTATATGTTCATTTATTTCACTTTTAATTCCTCTAGTTTGACTTCCTCAAAAACAAAAAATCATCTAGTTTGACGTCGGACCAGACAATTAATTAAATAAAGATGTCACTCTATATTACTCCGTCCGTCCCAAATTATTTGCAGCGTTTGCTTTTTCAGCAGTCGCGAGAACTTTTGTTTATTTCTACGTTTTCATTGGTTTATTTGATAAAATGAAATATTCTTGACACCTCTTATTTCAAAAAACTTTTCATGTTGTTTTTTGATATGTAAATTTTATTTTTTATTTCTATACCAATATGTAAATAAAATAAATTGAAAAAACTTGATAATTTTCCTCGAGAACACAAATGTGACAAATATTTAGGGACGGAGGGAGTATATTTTGTAAAAAATAATTTTATTAGATTTAACATTTGAAATTTTTTTAATTATCGTTTTATTATATTAATAAAATTTTTAATGTCATTGATCATTAGAACTCATTCACTTCGAATCAAGTAAGTTAACTTTTTGCCTCCAGTTATATCTATTTTAACAGTACCCCATATTTGAACACTAATCATTAGAAAGTGCAAAATTATATTGTTACAATTTAAATTTATGTAATTCTCTTGGGTCAATGTGCTAAAAAGAATGTGTGTAAGGAATTTGAATGCATTTTGAGGTTTGGAGTATCTATCTCCCATGGACGCGTTTTGGTGTATATGACAAGAATTGAAAGTCACCCAAACGTCTTTCAAATCTAGTATTTGAGGCTCACTTATTTTAAATTGAGTTTAAGTGATGGAACAAATGCTATACTGATCACTATAGAGTAAATTTCAAATATGATACCTTTTTAAATTGCACGAGAATTTTGATTCAGTACCTAAATTTTAAATTTTTCAAAAAATACATGAATTGTGAAAACCTTTCACGAATGAGACAAGAAGCAAGTTTTTAGGTAACCCGTAGATCTTTTGGGCCAAATTACAATTTTTTACATTTTATACTTTTCAATTTGACTCCCATTTCTTTTTCTTCTTATCCCTCCTCCCACCCCCTTCTTTTTCTTCTTCATCTTTCACCCATTTTCTTCTTCTTCTTCTTCTTCCTCTTCTTCTTCACCCCTTTTGTTATTCTTCTTCTTCTTCAAAACTCCCCTCACCCCACCCCCTATGGTCTTCTTATTTGTTTAATTTTTTGTTTGTTAAATTTTTTGTTTTGTTTTTTTAATTTTTTTTCTTGATATTTTTATATTATTTGTTTGTTTGTGTACCCGATCTCTCGATGCTTAGGGTCGGTGTAGGACTTCTGACAATCTGAAGCAACTTGCAATTTCCAGACTTTCTCTTCCATTTCACGGACAAGATTAGGTCTTTCGAGCTTGGACTCACTTAATTCAATCCAACAGACTAGGGTTTTGCAATGTCTTCGGTATAGTGCGCCGTACATAGCCATCTGAATACTAGCTTGATAACTATTATTGTAAGCAAATTCTATCAGTTGTAGATATCGCTCCGAGCTATATCCAAAATCGACGATGTAAGCTCTCGTCATGTCTTCCAAAATCTGAATCGTCCTCTTAGATTGACCATTTATTTGTGGATAAAATGCCATACTGTAATTGAGCTTGGTATTAAGAGCCTTCTGTAGACTCTTCCAAGACCAATATGTGAACTACGGGTCACGATCAGAGATGATAGATACAAGCACGCAATGTAGCCTGACGACTCATGTGATAGGAAATAAATGGGCTAACTTTGTCAATCGATCCAGAGTAACCAAATTAGCATCGTTCTTCTTGTTTGACAAGGGAAGGCTTATCACGAAGTCCATCTTGATCCTCTCCCATTTCCACTTGGGAATGACTTGCAGATGCAGCAATCTACTCGGTACTTGATGCTCTGCTTTGATTTGCTTCCAAGTCAAGGACTTGGATGTAAATTTTGAGATCTCTTGTTTCATAGTTGGCCACCTATTCAATAAGTCTACTTGAGATCATGATGAAAGGTAACCATGCAAGGATAGACAGCGGAATATAAAAATTTTAACATCCTAACATGATTAACTTGCCCAGAATCACGTACTAAAACTTATAGTAAGTAAGAAATTTATACCTTTCTCCGTAAGAGGTAAAAACGAAGAAGTCGTAGGAAGAGCGTTGAAGGTGCAAACGTAACCGTTCAAGCGTCCAGTCTCCAACTTTGACACACGAACAATGCCGGAGTCTACCACAATCTTTATGCTAGTAAAGATTATAACAGTATAAAATATAAAGATTAAAATTTGGGATAATAATAATCTTGTATATTTCTATAGAAAATATTTCTAATAATATTTAGAAAGTATTATAGATATTTTCTTTACACAAAATGATATTATGGAATCAAATAAAACCACTTTCTCTCACTAAAATGGTAATGGCCGAAAACCACTTCACACACACCAAACTCACATTTGCAAATGGAGTGTTATATTTAAATAAAACAAAGATGTTTAATTAATTTTTGTCATTAGCTAAATGACAAAACAATTAGCCCACTAATTTATCAATCAAGGAAAGTTAAAACAAATTTGTCAAACCTTTAATTGATATGGCCGTATGTTTTGATTTGAGAAGGATTTTAAAAATTCTTCTCCACTTAAATGTTCAAAGTGTATTTTATTTGACACCAAAAATTAATATAAAATTAATTTTAAATCAAATAAAAATACCAACATCATTTTTTAAACAAGTATAAAAATATACTTCAAATAGTTTATGTCAAAATAATTATTTTCATAATTAAAATGACATACCAAAATAAAATATTCAATAATATATATATATATATATATATATATATATATATATATATATATATATATATATATATATATATATATATATAAACCGTATATATAATATATATTATACTCCAAAATATTTTATTTTACTAATTTTACAAATATACAAATTATTTATTATCCTATTGTTTAATCCTACTCCTTAAATTGTTCAAAGTGTGTGACCCGTATAGGCACTTATAAAGCTGGCCACAGTATTGGCTCTGCACTAATACTATAAGCAATAAGCGGTATCTAGCAACACATTATTGCCCCCAGATTATAAGTTAAGACGTTTGCACCGTCAAAACCTTTCCACGACTCAGACTCCGTGTAACTGTATCCCTTTGTCTCAATGTCTAAACTTAATGCAAGGGATAAATAAAATCCAACTTGTATCCATTAAGTCATTCACTGATTTATCAAGTCAAACTAATAGGAAGAGACGTCATAAAAACATCTCAGTATGGCCATGCAATTTCCTTAGTCATAACTTATCAGTAGGCCCCATAAGACATTAATCTCTTTAAAAAGAGTAGTGACAAATCCTATGTACGTAATCTACGTTTCTGAATACGCGTTGCGGCATACCCAAAACAAAGCGTGTATACCATCCTTATTTCATATGGTTTAGGACAATGCATCAAAGCATGCGGGTTCACATATACAGAAAACGTAATACTTCAAGTCGAAGGATAGTTACACCCGTGGTCGCGCTAAAGATGCTTAGAGCATGAACTAAAAGTTCAAGCAACATCTTTAGGATGAGTCAGTCCGGCATCCTATTATCTCCAGATAATATCTGCCCATGTGCGGATGCGAACACACCGTCATTGACTATGATACTAAGTCAAACATCCCACACACACTAGTCTCACATGCATTAACGATATCCCACTCTCGTTAATACTCGACTATGGACATTCAGATAAATATTTATTTCAAGATGTTAGTTTCTTGAGCAGAAAAACACTATCTAATAAACATCTTTTAAATATAAATCTAGGAATATAATATTTGTTTACATTAGCATAAGATGTGTAAACATATTATATCTGCCTATACATGATAGAATAACGATGAACAGTTGGCCATCAGGGCACAACTCCAACACATGATTCATCTTATTGCTACCTACATACATAGTGTATACAGTTTTGTGAGATTTACGCAGCAAGCATTCTCTCACTACAGCATCTAGCACCACTAAGTGATCTTGATAGAACAAGATACCGTTACCGTTGATAGTGAAGTCTTGTCTCTCCCCATTAGAGACAAGTTTACATACCTTCACACAAAAATCATCCTCTTTCTGTGTTGCGCGAATCTTGTTTTCCAAAGTAGCCTATAGTCGAAGCTCTACCATGGCCTTTCTCCTTGTGTCAGTTTTCGAATTAGAATTGTTTTTTGAGTACTTGTTATGGTACTATGGGCCCCTGTATGCTAAACCATAGGTTGAGATTGAGTATTATTCGAATGTCTTCCCCATGATGCATTTACAAAACCATATTCTCGTCAGACCGTGTTCACCCTCTGGAGATAACCCCACATCTGAGTTTTCAATTATCAAAGAACCCAACAATGGTAAGTAATATGCATAAAATGGTAAATTACATGATCAATGTAAATAGAATATATCAATCTTCATCATAGTATCAATTGGTATACAACTATATCATTCCTCCATCACATTTTTGTTCAGCTCGAGTCTTCCGTGCCTTTTGTGCCTCATTTGCCTCAGCCTCTCTTTTTAGTCATGACAAAATTAGAGTTGCCATACCAGAATTGGTTTCGTTTGATCGGAGCATTATAGCTTAACGTTAATGTTTTATAAAGAATATCTAAATCTATCATTTTCAAAATTTTTATCTTAAACGCTAACACTCATAAAAAAATTTATTTTTAGGTGGTTTAGGTAACATGTATATTTGCTCACTCAATAAGTTAGAAGTAGGGATGGGTTGGGAAAATCGAAAACTATAAACTGAATGAAAAATGACCGTAACGTGCTAGAAAAAAAACTAACAACAAAAACCAAATGTAAAATCCGAACCATTATTGTTTGGTTTCAACAAAACTTTCCTATCTTTTTCATTTTTTGTATATGAGTAGAAATGATATAAAAAAAATAATAGAAATATAAATGCAAATAACTGATCAGTCTATTAAGATTATTTTGCCTTAACTACTATGAACTTTAAACCACATTATAAACTTGAAAAAGAAAGTAATAATTGAAACACGAATAATTAGTCCTAATACAAAGTTATATTATTAATAAAAATCGATATAAGTAATTTACATATTTACAAAAAAAATATGATGTTATAATTGAAATGAAAGTTTATACAAAAATGAAAACACCCCGTAATTGATAATTACATGCAAAGGCTTATGGAGTATTTTGAATCTCTTATATGTTTGTTAGGGACTCGGCACTTAGTTTTTACATAAATTCAAACCAAACTTTAACCTTTCGTTTGTCTTTCAGTTTTGGGTAAGAAGCAAACAAAAAAACTAAATGTAGCCCTAAATATTGTTTCTATATCACCAAGATATTGTTGTTACAACTTTTTAATGCTTATATTTTCATTTCTTAAAATTGAAAAACAACAAAAATAAAATAGAAACCGCATAAAAATGTACCGAATAACCAATGGTTCACATATTTTTGGTAAGAAACCAAAGTGTACCTCTAACTTACCTTCTGTGTCTTTACTTCTAGGTAAAAACAAAACCCTGAAAACCTATTGGTGGTCCAAAAGTGGTGAGATACAAAGTCTAGAGGGGGGGGGGGGGTGAATAGACTTTGTTACAATTTTAAAACTTTTTCGTTTCTTTTGGAAACGTGAAAATAGTGTAAATCTAGAGTTCTTGGGAACTTTAGATTGTGTGCGGAATTTGGTGGGTAGTATGAGCAGTAATCAATATGGATGGGTTAGTTTTCACAGTTAATATAATTGCAAGTAAGAGTAAAGATAAAAGAGAGAGACACGCAAACTTTAACGAGGTTCGAAGGTGGGGTAATCCTTCTACGTCCTCAAAATCCACTATGTAGTTGGTTGTTGAATAAAGAACCAACAATTACACTTGTGTGAATTTCTGCACGGTATATCTTCGCAAGGCCAAAGTTGCTACTGCACTCGTGCTGGCTTTGTTGTTCCTT